TTTGGGGGTTTTAATCTTGTTTCTTTTCCTTTCTACAATAGTTGATGGTTTGGGTTTCTTTTTGTATAAATTTCTTGGCCTTGCAAACACCTGCTTGCAATGTGTGTGTGGTTTCACATCTCTGCACAAAATGAAGTTTGATAGTAGAGGCTGCTTTACCCATGGTGTGGCTGGAGCAAAGGCTGGTGAATGAGAGGTCTTCCCCTTGCTTTTATATTTACCTGAACGGCTCTCTGAGCAGATCAAAAAAGTAAGGCTTCACTCTGCCTGACTTTGTCCTAGGATGAGATGTGGGCTTTACTGAAGTCCACTGGAAAACTTATCTTGCACCTCCAGGGCAGGGTTTCATACCAAGGGATGGTCCTTGCACCTATGTGAGCATCAGGACAAATTAGGTACACCAGTGGTTTACCACAGTCAACGTATCACCTCTTCAGCTGATGTTTGGGGCACTGTAACACCCTTCCTGAGCACTGAAAGTGACAGCAATTACTTTCATTTCTATGTAAGTGAGGTTACAATCAGGTCTTCTAATTTGTGCCCTAGTATGGAATGAAAGGAATAGTTGGCAGCAACGTTTTTCCCAAAACAATATTGTTTAACCGTCTCTTTTTTTTGTTTTTTGTCAGACGTTGTGCAGATACCCAGTGACCACTCTGTGCAGCGCCCCAACCGCCTACCGCCTGCTGGTGCAGCACGACCTCACCAGGTACCGCATCTCTTCAAGCTATTTCCTGGCTCTTTAGCAGTGATTTCTGGAGGCCATCATAGCCACTTAAACTCTGAGTGGTGGAAATTCTGTGCTGGAGGGAGCGCTTGGGAGGAGGCAGAGCCTTTTCCTTCACTCAGAGGTGACGAAATCCACCCCTTAGGCACCTCCAACCCAGAGCAAATTTTGCCCTGAGGTGTTACAGACAGTAAATAGAGCTGCCAGCATTCAGCCCCTGAAGGCACGTGTGCAGCTGCGCTGCCATCAGTCCAGTGCATCTCTGCAGCTCACCGACTTGGCAGCTGCTTTCCAGTCCCACTCTAACTGGAGCTATAGGCTTCCTCTCAACTCTAACCCTAGCCGTAAGAGAGTCTGATGTGTCCTGAAATCATGGGGTTGGACATACCGATGACTAGGAGTGGAGAATGTGTCCCTTTCTGACCTCTGATACTCAGCAGTGTCCTCTGTCTATGAAGGTATGCATTCAAGGCACTGAAGCACTGTTTGACCGGAGGAGAACCACTCAACCCAGAAGTGATGGCACAGTGGAAAAGCCAGACAGGACTGACCATCTATGAAGGCTATGGCCAAACTGAAATTGTACGTTCAGTTTTTTTGTGGAGGGTTACAACTCAGTTCTCACTTCGGGAGCTTACACTTAGCTGTCTCATTCCTCTTGGTAAATCTGGAACTTGGCCATATATATTTGACTAAAAAGAAAGATGGCACTAGAATACGTGGCAATTGCCTACAAGAGAGTTTATTGTTTTGCTTAGAATTACAGCTTGGTGAGGATACTGCTTCTAAGGCTACTTAAGCTGTAAAACATCTTGAGTCCAAGATTCTCAGTGAAGTTTACAAATGTTCTGGCTCACACAGATGGAAGATTTAGATCTTCTGCTCACTCAACAGTGGGCATGGTACGAGAACAGGAATGTCCTGAGGAATTACAGTGAAAAATACCTGGGCTGTTTTTTTGTCTTTTCCAACAGGGAATGATATGTGCAAATATGAAAGGAATGAAAATTAAGCCAGGTTCCTTAGGAAAAGCAACTCCCCCCTACGATGTTCAGGTATGGTGGGCCCCGTTTCTGTTTGCTGTTGATTTCATAGGAAGTAAAATACAAGAGAGTACAACATACCATACAAGTTTTGTACTATACAGTGGTATTCAGGGCAGGCTGACTTTTTTGGTTGAGCTGATGGTTAGTTTTAGAACATGGCTCTCTTAAAATGGGAAGTTATAATCACCCATTTGCCTTTCCTCTTGCAGATTATAGATGAAAATGGCAGTGTTCTGCCTCCTGGGAAAGAAGGAGATATTGCTATCAAAATGGATGCCAAGCGGCCATTTACGTTTTTCACTCGATACCTGGTAAGCCAAAAGTGCATTTCAGGCCTGCAGCATGGGATGTGTTTGTACCAACAGGAGCAGATGCAGCACCAAAGAGCTGTGGCTTCTCTTGACTTTGACTGACACTGTTCTGACTTAGGGAACTTCCATTCTTTCCCCTGTTCTGCAGACCTTCTGTCTGATCTTCCCTTCTGTATCTGCCCTTGCGATCAGTTTTCCAGGAGCAGATGCAGCACCAAAGAGCTGTGGCTTTTCTTGACTTTGACAGTTCTGACTTATGGAACTTCCATTCTTTCCCCTGTTCTGCAGACCCTCTGTCTGATCTTCCCTTCTGTATCTGCCCTTGCGATCAGTTTTCCTCTTTGGAAAAAGCAAGCACAAGCTCTTACATTCTTGAAACAGAAAACAAGCAGTGAGAGATACTATGGCTAGTGTCCAAAGAGGCAAAACTCATCTCTTAGCTTAGGGCTTCTCAACATTTAGATCATTTAATTGTTGCTTGTTCAACAGGACGATCCAGTGAAAACTGCATCCACAATCCGTGGGAACTTCTATATCACTGGCGACAGAGGGAGCATGGATGAGGATGGATACATATGGTTTATGGGGAGATCTGACGATGTCATCATCTCCTCTGGGTTTGTAGATTTCAGTTAAAACGCCAAGAAACGTCTAAAAAATAACCATATACCTTTCACCCATTAAGCATTTAATTTCTCTCTCCTAGTTATCGTATCGGACCATTTGAAATCGAGAGTGCCCTGATACAGCACCCTGCTGTCGTTGAGTCAGCTGTTGTCAGCAGCCCAGACCCCATCAGAGGAGAGGTAATTAGTGATCACTCTCCTAGTCATAAAGTGCCTTGTGTGAAAGAGTTTATGCTCAACTTCCACGGAAGTCAGAAGACTCTTAACAGAGCTATACAAACTTTTCCATCACTTCACCCAAACCAAGGGGAGCAGTACTTTGTGTATCCCATATCCCATGTTCCTTTTATTTGTTTTTCTTAATGAAAATATAATCCTTAGTTTCCTAAAGAACACAACACTGAATATAACAATGACTCTGGTAAGTACTGATGTACGTTTAGACCCACTGCCTGGAGAATTATATTCTTTACTTTAATAACTTCTGTTTACAGAAAAGGCCCCATCATCTGGGTTCTCATCATCTGAGAACTTCAGAACAGTCCTTTACAGAACTCTTACAATTTTGAAGCAGAGTTTGAATCTTTTATCATGTCTTACTTAGGACCTTTACTAATGTAAGGCAGAAACAGTCTTTCATCCTGATTTTAAATTTGCTTACACAACAGCAAATTTTGCTTTACAGCGCAGGTGGGATACAGCAAGCCTGTAATGCAGGCAACACTCACTTATTCTCAATTAATTGCCTCATTTGTCAGGTTGCTGTGGTTTAATTGATGTTATATTTTTTATTTATTTTCCCTTTGTAGGTGGTAAAAGCTTTAGTGGTCTTGTCTCCTTCCTTTAAGTCACAAGATCCAAAGACACTGGCCTGTGAATTGCAAGATCATGTCAAAAAAGTCACTGCTCCATACAAGTACCCCAGAAAGGCAAGTAAACATGAGTGTATTAAAAAAAAAAAAATCCCAAACACCTATTTTAACTGTGGAGATGCTAGAAACAGAAAGATTGGACCCAGTTCAAACAAAGTACCAAACAAAAGAGACCAAATACGTACTGTGCAAGAAAAATGACAAATATTATTTTAAAGATGTTTTTGGAAAGTAATAGATACAACACAATCTAAAACAAAATTGGAGTTATTTCCTCTGTCACCAAATTCTTATATAAATTAAGTAGAAATGAGATCTATGCTGTTTTGGAAGAAAAAAAAAATCAAATCTGTTCATTTTACTTTTTTCCTCTTTTGAATCAGATTGAATTTGTCCAGCAGCTGCCAAAGACAATCACTGGGAAAATCAAACGGAATGAACTGAGGAACAAGGAGTGGGGCCAGATTTAGTTTTTATAAACAATCTAAAAAAGCCTATCCCTATCAATTTCATTTTTAATGGAGCTTTTCTATTAGAGCTGTAAGCACCAACATAGGATTATATTTCACCCTTACGCACCGATTGTGTAATAACGCATAATGTCTAAAAACTTCAACTGTTTTTAAATGCTTGGGTTCTTGCTTAACAAAAATCAAGCCTACCTAGCAAGGCATGTGCAAACACAGCTTCCAGCCACCTAATGCTTTTCAGAATTACTGTACAAGTAGAAGTAGTGATTACCAGGTGAAGGAGCAGTGTGTTCATTATTTGAGACCAGACATTTAAACTCACAAGAGGCTTATTAATGAGAAAATCATGACAGTATGTAAAAAAGTTCCCAGAAATGGCCACAGATCTGGCATGCATCCAAATCAAGTACCCTGCTTGTATGAATCTTGAAAGCCTCGAGATTTAGGAATTAACATGTTGACAATGAATTCAGTAAGTGCAAATCATGAGAAATGAGAAGTAAAAGAATGCAGACAACTTTAAGAGTGCAGCACCGGCAGAATCTAAATGTCAGGCCAGTAAGTGCAAATCATGAGAAATGAGAAGTAAAAGAATGCAGACAACTTTAAGAGTGCAGCACCGGCAGAATCTAAATGGCAGAATCTAAATGTCAGGTGCAGGCTTGACAAATGGAAGGTAGCTATTCAGCAGTTTCTTCTGAAGAGCCATAGATACTGTAGACACACAGATAAGTGAGGGAGAGAAGGAAACAACCCGCAAACTATCTTTCTTTGTCCTTAGTAAGATAAGTAGGCTGTCTTGAATCGTGATCACTGACATCAGCCACCAATAAACATTCACTGTTGGCCTTTGTCTCTGGTCTCAAGTGGTTCTTTCCTATGTATGATCTAGACATTGCTAGTTTTAATCCACACAGAAGAAGCTTTCAAATTTAAAGAAAACACCGATGGAGGTAAGAAAGCTGAGTTTTAATAAATGGGTGGTAAGGGAGACAGGAGCAGGGAAAAAAGTTGTCTCAATTTTCCAACTTCTAAAACAATTTTGAGAGAAGAGGAAAATGTAAATTTAATACTGTTGAGAGACTTTAACACATCCTTTTCATTAAACCAAGATAAGTAACAAGTGGCATTCTTCAAGATGAGTCTTTCCCCATTAGCAACCCACAGGCTTTTATGCTAGAAATGAAATACTAAAGCTAGACAGCTGTACAGGAAGCATACTCAAAACCCTACTGGAAAGCAGGTTGTAGCTGCACTGGTTTTGGTTGTTTTTAAAAAAATCAGTGAGATATCAAAAGAGTTTCTGTAACAAATGGACAACAGAAAGACTCACTAACATTAATTTCAATCTGAAACAAAATTAATACTGTTAAGCTAAAACTACCAAAAATTAAACTTAATTCCCCTTATCCGGTATGGTATAATGGAGAGCTTCTTTCATAAGAAGTTTCCAAGCAGTATTCAAATGCAAATTTTGAAACCTAATTAAAAAATAAAAACAAACAAAAAAGACCTTATAAAAAAAACCCCAAGAATAAAGTCTTTGGAAAGAGCAGCAAAAGGCTATTTGCAGGAAATTACTCAAAAGGATTCTGTTCAGCGACTACAGCATTTCCTATAAACCAGTAACTGCTGTATACACAGCTAATGTAAACACACGTGTAGTTTTTGCTAGAACCATCTGCAATGCCTGCACTGTGCTTCTGTTCTAGAACACTCAAATCTAATACTCTAAATCGTATCACTGTATTCAAGTATTTTGATCATAGCAGTTCTTTCCATTCATTGTCAAGACTTAGCATGTCCTTTTATAGCAATGTGTATATATATATGTATAAACCCCTCCATCATACAGGAAATGATCAGTTTTAGCTCATTCTGTTTACACAGAAAAACTGAGTTCTGCAGTCACAGAAGTTGTCAGATCACTTCCCTAAAACCCCTCTGCAAGCAACTGTCTTTTTCAGATCTTTCACTTCTGTCAATACTGGAGCTGATTCTGCACTGCCTTTTGATTTCTGTAGCCATCAGATCTAACAAAAGAGAGTCAATGTATGTCAGGATGGCCACATTTACGTATGAATGGCCACACTCCTGCTTTTTGTGCTAGGTAAAGGCAGTGCAGAACAAAGCCGTAGAAGAATGACTGCAAGCTTCACCAGAAAGGTGACACACTGTTGAGCACTCTTACAGCTGCTGTAATGGCAGCTCCACCTGCAACGAGCATTAAAATTCTTACACTGGTGGATTTTAAAAACAAGATTTCAAAACAAAACCCACTCTCCTCTTTAAAACGCCCTTTCAGAACTCTAGGGCAACTTCTTTTTTTTTTTAATAGGTTTCCATTGTGTTTTTTATCTTTCCCTTCCACCACATTTTCTACACCGTTAGCACATCATTCCCCTTGGGCTCAGCTTCTGTTTCACCTTGATTCTTGTTCTCTTCTTTTACTTCTTTTGAGCTCTTCTCCTCCTCCTCATTTTCTGGTTTTACTACCTTTGAGTTCTCTTCTTCTGTCAGACTTGATGGGTTTTGTTGTATGTCGTCTTTGTTGCTCTTCACCACCTCCTGTAGATTGTATTTTCGGAACAGAATATAGTCTCTTACCACACTCAAGCAACAGACGCTTTTTATTATTTCCACCACAATTGTATATTGTGGGTTATTAAGATCGACTTTGTTTTCTGGATTGAGGCTGCCCACAATTCCTGTAAAACAAGATATAGTTTAAAAGATGCTGGGAAAACTGTTTCAGAGCATAAGCATGCCCTACCAAAAGGATAAAAGTTAAGCGAGAGAAAGCAATATCCCCCTTAGTTGTAACCAATTACTCATTTTTGTAATTGCTTAAAATAGCAGAACAGGGCATGACTCTTAGAATATACCACCAGTAGAGCTGAAGTAGCTGAAAAACTGTCCCACTGCAATTGCCAAGAAACAAAATACTCGAGTAAGGTGGAGCTATTTTATGAGTCATATATTCAATGGAAATAATAACACATTATTTCAATGCAGCAGAGAAAAAGCTGATGGCAGTCACTTAAAAGCACGTGTAACTGACACTCCAAATTATATTCAACACTGTACTCTCTTCTCTTTGTTTTCTCTTAAGACATCAACACCAACAAGGAATATTGATGTCAAGCTTTTTTACGTCTTAGAGAAGCTTTTGTAATTCAACATACAGATTTTATGCAATAACTACGTATGCTCATTAAGACCACTTTTAATAATCTGACCTATGCATGCAGTTGTGAGCTGCTTATATACTTGTTCTTTTTTTGTAAAATCCGTACGTACCTGCCAATTCCTTTATTACTTCTTCCCTACTCATATGACTGTTATTACGAGCTTTGTAAACTATCTGAAAAGTACCCTTATTGGGGGCTTTAAACCAAGGCTCAAAAAACGTTTCCGCATATTTTTTCATATCCTCCATAAAAGCCTTGCAAGTTCCAGAAATGGGAAGCATGCGCAGAATGACTCTTGTTTTCTTCTTTTTAGTGGTATGCATATCCTTTAATATATGGTGCACCAGGTTCTCAGGTTCTACAAGAAAAACAAACGAGGTATGAAAAACCCATTGAAAGCATTTTATCCCTTCTTCCCCCCTCTCTAAATAATAAAATGGGGAAATGCATGCTTGGCTGCATTGAGGTCAGCTTCAAATCTGTAAGGAGTTGTTTTACTATACCAAAACTAGATAATCAAGGATTATTTGGTCAAACCAGATTCCTCTACCTTTAGCAACTCCACTAATGACAAAATTCAGTGACAATCCCAAAGGCAAGGGGAAACCCTGTATTTGTTTGGTATACACGAGTTTCTTGGAAGTCACGCTCCCTGGCCTGTTACTAACACTGTTCAGAGTAGTTTATTCCCACAGCACTAGGCAGTGTCAGCGGGTGTCCCACCTATGCCCCGGGTTCTGATGAAGACCACGTTGTTGGCACCACTCTCCACTGACTGGAACCGCCGCAGCTTCTGCTCCGTCGAGGCGCGGATCTGGCCAACCTCCTTCTTCAGGGCAGCCTCCACATCGTCCTCATCCTCCTCCTTCTCGCTTCCCGACAGCCGCTCCTCGTGATCTGAAAACTTCACACAAGGCCCATCTCTCGTTGGGTGGGTACCAAGGAACAGTGCCCACCGCACGAAACCCAGCAGCGTGGCACCACCGCCCCCAGGGCCTGCAGGTGACAGGCAAGGACCTTCTCTCCAGCCAACCCACAGGGCTCCGCTGGCCTTTGCTTACAAAAACTGGCATTTTCGTGTACGTGGTGAACGCAAATAGGATTTTTTCACACACGGAACGGGACAGGCGGCCTCATGGCACGGCTCCCCCCGCCCCGCCGCCGTCAGCGCTGCCAGCCTGCGGGAGGCAGAGGCTGAGAGGGACGGCCCACACCGCGCAGGGCCGCGCTCCCGCCCCGCACCGAGCCACCGGCCGGGCCGCCCCCACGCACCTGCTCGGGCCCGTAGAGCAGGTCCCCGTACTCGCCGAGGAGGCTGTAGGCCTCCCCCACGCACTTGCGCTCGTTCATGTTGCAGGTGATGAGGATGCCCCGCATGCCGGCCTCCAGCTGCCGCCCCCCGCCGCCGCGGGGCCG